ACAGAAAGGGAGTTCTATTACTTAAATGTTTTGACAGCCACAATTCCCACTGATTGGTACAAGCACTTTGCTGTAACAGTTTAATAATACTTGATTTTTAAAGGCTTAAATGTTAATTAGCTGCAGTGTGTTCTTCCCATCACCACCATGGTGTTTTGCCCCAACTAGATGCCTCAGGTTATCCTAGGGAAGGCACATGCAAGAAGGTGATTGCCTTGACTTATTCTGAAGGGAAGGAAGAAGTGTCATCTGGGAATGCTGTGGGAATGGCACAGTCAGGTCTGGAGTCGGGTGGGTGGGAAAAAGGGGAAGCAAGTAGTGTCTGGAGTGCCTGGAGCAGGAAGGAAGGCATGAATGCCAAAGGCTGGTCTGTGGTTTGTGATGATGGATGATGAGCACTGTTTTGATCAATTTGGATTTAACAAACATTTTGCTTCTCACATTTCAGCTGGGTTTTTTTTTTTGTACATTATTTGCAGTTTATTTTTTATTTAGGGTAATAGCTAACCTTTTTCTGCAGAGGATTATGTGCTGTGCCACATGGTCTCGTTGTGGATATTCAGGTATCTGTATAGATCTATGTCTTCTGTGGTCAGCTTTATTTATTGTTGGCATAGACTCATATGCTTACCCTTCCTCTACAAAATAAAGCTACACAAAACTGGGTGAACTATTAGGGAAACAGATCCAATGAAAAACAAAACCAAACAAAAAAAAATGGAAAAAAAGAGGAGAGAGAACAGGCAAACTTCATACTCTTTAAAGTTGCTGTTTCAAAACAGCAAGCATCTTCCAAAGCACAGGTCAGCTGGTACCTCTCTTATTGCTGTTACCATAGCAGAAACACAGAATTGTGATGAAATAAATAAACCTAATCAGAAGCAAAAGAAAAAAAACCCAACCCAAAACAAGTTTGCAGTAAAACCAGCTCAAGTTAACCTATTCTCAGAGGACTTTGAAGGAAAACATACTTCTAAAGATGTTCTGTGAGTGATTTTAGGCACAGCTGCAGGAAAAAAAGGTATCCTTCCCCTCTCTTTGGAAGGATTAAATCTGTTCTGGAAATTAAACAAAGTGGACAAAGTCTCACAGAAACAACAGACTGGAGCCTAGGATGTGAAAAACTATGAGAAAGAAGAAAAATGTCCTGGAAAAGGGCTACTGGATCATTTTATGGAACTTTAATGACAGAGTAAGCAACCCAGGCACATTAATCCTATCTTTACTTGTCTTGTGATATGGAAAATATTCTAAAAGGAATTAAAAAAAAAAGTAAAAGTGGTAGCAGACTACAGACACAGATAATAATTTCCCTGGTCTAAGTCTATGAATTCATAAAATATGTAAATTTGTATCAATGTATGTTAGAATTTTCCACAGAAGGTAATGTAACATTTTCTGAGTTATAAAGGCCATGAAAATGTTTGATCTCTGTACCTGGATGTGTAACCTGCCTCTTCTTTAAGCAAGTCTTCTGATCCCTCTACAAATGCTAACGAATACCTAAAAAAAGGAACAAAAAACCCAAGTCTTAATTTCCTGTGTGTTGTATAGGGCAGCCATTGAGAATACTGAGGCTTGATGTTTAGAACTAAAGGAGTTTACCTCCTATCTGGAATGAAATAAAGGGATGAAGTTGTAAACACCAGAAAGCATTGCTAAGATCAACATTCTGAAATAAAGTTGTGGATCTGGGAGGCAGTTTTAATGTCTGTTCCCATGGTTGAGAAAATTCCTGCAGCATGGGTGTCATGCTGTAGAGCTGGAGCATATTTGTTGGGACTATGGATAGCCAGAAGTCTTGCTGTTCAGTGAGATGACTGTTTTTTCTCAGCTTGACAAATGACATGCAGCTCTGACAGAATACTTCTCCTTTGCTGGCCATCACCCCTACGGACACTGGCCAGAACAGCAGCAGCAGAAACATACCCTCCAACTCTGATTTAATCACATGGAGCCCAGGAGACCAGTGAATAGAGCTGTTAACTCTCTGTTTGATTTGCTTTTCCCATCTGTGTTTTATTAAACTGAGAGCAAGATTTATTCACTTTTTTTAACCTCAAGAGCTGTTGGTGTCCAAGATGATGGTTGATGTTAAGGTATACATACACAGTTTAATCTGGCTGAGGGCCAAAGAGGCCTATGATTTCCAGCCTAGACAATTTACTTGCAAAAGGACACAAAATCCCTCTCCTCTCAGATATTTCAGAAAGGATGAGCACGACTTCCTGCTCTCCCAGGAACACAATACATAAAGAACACAGTGAAGCAGTAAGCTCTCCAGGATGAGCCAGGCTCTCTAGGCATGCAGGCAAACACTTCAGTTTTACTGTACTCCTGACAGCCCCCACATAGTCAGAACTACCAATGATTTTCTGATTTCCACTCCAGGAATCTTAAATAGATTGGAGATACCAGCTCCGTGTACAGATATTTCTCCTAAAAGCCAAGAATCCTGAATGGCTCAGCTGGTGAATTGCACTTTATGGGAACTGAAATTACGTGCCAGGCTCTCCACTGTAAGGTGGGACAGCTGAAGCACAGACACTTGCATGCCTAATGAGCCACCACAAGAATAACTCTAGCTTCTAAAGGAGAAGAAAAGGAACAAAAAGATGGGGTTTTGAAATGCTTTGAAAAATAAACTTTTCCTCAAAAAATAGGATTAACTCAAGATAGAAAGATCAAGTGTGCAATTTTCGGAACTGTAAAGAGGTTTCTTTTAAATACCTGTTTCAAGCAGTAACAGATAAAGCTCCTAAAATAGAGCTTCAATTCAAACAGCCCACAAGACTCTTGACACTTTTCCAAAACTTCTGGGCATTTTCTTCTTAACAGCAAGCTCCTTTCCAAAATGTACCACTCTCCCCCTCATCTCTTAGTCATCACACATCTCAACAAAACTAACATGGTGACATCAATTTACTCTCTTGCCTTGCTACTATCCCTGCAACTACACTGTGGATTATCACGTCTGCCAGATTTGATGTCATTTACAAATGACATCTCATCTTTCCAGGCAAATGCTTTCGCAACATCATATGAGTATCACATGGTTGTGGCACTTACTTACACAGAGCATCATCATATTACAACAACTCTTGTAATACTAAGGCTCATGGTATCCCCATATGGCAGTAAAATGTATCCTGAAGACAAAATTGTTATTACAGCAGAGCATAGAAAATAAACTGTAGCTCTCAAAGCTTGTTCATAGTCTACTATTGGTTTGCCTAGAACAGTATTTTTATCACTCACATATCCATCTGCCCCAGAAATTTTAATAGAGGCTGCAGAATTTGATTTCATGTGTGATAGTTCCTGTTCTGAATTGACTTTCAATGTGAATAAAAGAGCAGTGACTTTTGTTACCATTTTATTTAAGAATGGTCTTTTTTCCATGCTCTTTCACAATTTTGTCATCTGTGAGATGACAGTGAGAGGTCTGTATGAGCCAGTACAAATTAAGCAGCATTCATGTGCTTTCTCATTATTACAGCTTTTAAGAATGCTGGCAGAAAATGATGGAATCTGCAAGTTTGATTTTTCTTGGTTTCTAATGAAAAAAAGAATTTGAATTGTATGCAGTGTTAACTTGAACTGAGGACTTGGTCACTGTACTGAGTCACATCCTTCAGATCCAATGCAGGTTTTGCACTTTATTCAATACATTAAAAGCAGGCTGCAAGAGAATGATTCCTCAAGCAGGGAGTGGACACAAGGCAAAACCCCTAATCCCTAAGCACTGTGTTAATAGCTGCATGACATGTTTTTGAATGAAAAACCTATGTGTCTGGAGTGTTCTGCAGTGAACTAAATTGTCCACTGTGTTAGCTATACCTAAAGCTACAGTTCCCTCATATCCCTATCTCCCTTTTGGAGAGTACAGGTACAAGGCAGCCTACTGTAGCAATATGATAAGAAACTTGATTTAGGTATGAGAAGGGTGTCAGGGTGACCCAGCCCGTGCAGGACTGCACTGTCATGCAGAGTGGCACACCTTGTTGATGCTCAAGGACTTTGTGTTAAGCATACAGGGCTGCTCAGATTTCTCAGGTGAGCTGAATCACTATTTGATACAGGTGCCTTGTATTCCTCCAGAGGGGTAGGTGCCAAAGTTGGGTTTGGTTTTGAGTTTGTTTGGTTTTTTGGGGGGGAGTGTTTTTTTCGTCTTTTTTTTTTTTTTTTTTTTTTCTTACATTCTAAAGGGTTTTTTTGGTTCTGCTTAGAGGCCACAAAAAGTCCCACTCTTGATGCTCCCAGCTTCATCACTAGCTGCTAGTATTGCTTGAATATCAGTGCAAACTCTTTTTTTTTCTGTCAGTATGAGGACAGAAAGCAATCCAACTCCAGATACTTGGTACAGGGACTTTGAGCTCCAAGAGATTTTTCCATATTCAAGAATGCTATATAAGTACTGTCAGGGAAAAATGGCTTCTTTCTCCTCAAAACTACCCCTATTTACAGCAGATTTAGCAGTCATAGAAATGGCAAAAAGGCCTCACGCCAAAGGCTGTTTCATTGGATATTTAGGCAAATTCTAAAGTATGCTAAGTAAAATAAATACAGATTTATTTGTAAAATTTGTATTACAGAGAACTTTAAGTATCATCCTATCCAATTGTTTAAATTTAAAATACTTAGTCCAAGATTAGTGAAAATGAATACCTCTGAAGAATCAAATTACTTGCTAGAACAACATCAAATTGCCATTTTTATAACTATTAAAGTATTTGGATAGACTTGCTTTTCCTGCAGTGTACTTTATAAGTCTTTGATTAATTTTTGTATGAGTCCATAATGCACTGACATTTTCACTGCCTCTAGGTGTAATAAGCCCAAGTTAATTCCTTCTTCAGATTTTCAGCAATGAATACACTAGGTCTAGGGTGGGGTTTTATTCTGTTTTTTTACCAAATATTCTTTGCAACTACAGATGTTGAATGAAAGGCTTCTAGACAATTTAAACTTCTCAGAAGAATACAAATAAAAGCTGTTAATGAAGTAAATATCTGTTTAATTTACAAACATCAGTAGCATTACTGATATCAGTCCAAATAAGACAAAGCACACTGCATTACACATGTACATCTAACTTTTTTTGTAAAAAAAATAATAAAATAAAATTGAAAAACATCTGCATTTTTACAGGGTACCCTGGGTTTTACTGAAAGAAGAACACAACCCACTATTGATTACCAATTCTACATTATAATTTAGCAGCAACATGTTAACATGGGGAACATTAGGGCAGTAAAGTAGTTTTATTATTTGGGGAAAGTCACAGTTCTTGATAGCACAGCCTTTTTTTTTCTTCTTTTTTCCTTATAAAAAAGGTAAAGAGCTCCATGGGAATATTAATTTATAAAGATCTATCTTCTAATGTCATTTTCTACACGCCATCTTATTTTCTGTAAGTACTGTATATAGGGAAAATTAACTTCTCTACAATTGTCATCTAGTGTAAAGACATTTTCTGTCATACATTACGGGTTCTTGGAAGGTGTCCTGAATATCTGCTGCATGTGAAACCGCAGATTGTCATCACTTTCCATTCAGTGACACCGAGTGGTCAGATTCTAAGGAAAAGGGACTGGAAAGGAAAAAATGGATTGAAAAACATTTACCCCAAGACGACATGCTACGTTAGTTCTATTGCAAAAAATCCTGATTTTTAAGTCCTTTAAAAAAAATTACAAAAATACTGGGACAAATATAAATTAATATATATTAAAGCATTGAAAAACAGTAAAAGGGGTGGCCTAAAAGGGTTAAGTACAATGTACTTTGATACAATAAATATTTCTCAATGAAACCGAATACTGTATAGAGTTGTTTAGAACTCATAGAAACAGAAATCCATATTATTACTAATTTATCCATCAATAATCTATTTTATCATCCCCCAAACATTTATATTACAAAAAAATTAATACTGTAAAAGGGAAGATAAACACTTTCTTTTTATGCTTCTTTTGCTAACATGCTGACATAAAAGTATACATCATCAGGAGATTTCAGGATTATAGTATATTCTCACATCTCCCATTTCCCATTCATTACATGGGACCCCATCTTCTCAAGATGCTTAATCATTCCAAAAAGACAAAATGTGTTTCAAACAATTGTTATTTCTGTATAATCTGATTCTTTTCACTCATAATGCTTCCTCATCCATGGGAAGTGATTGGTGTGGTCTGTCAAGACAATAAAATATACTGATACGAAAGTGAAAAAAACAAGCCTCATGTTCTGGTCAATATTTCATCTCTGAGCTGTTAAGTTGAAAGTCACATGTGTATAGTGTCAGTGTATCTTCAGCATGTTATAAAGAAGAATCCATGTTAAAAGCAGTTAAAGTTGCCCATCTCTGTTGCAATGTTACCGGGTCTTTTTTTTTTTTTCTTCAAAGCTCCTCTTGGGTATGAGAAGTCTCAGTTCAAGCACTTGAATCTTTTTTTTTTTTTCAATGAAGAAAAAGTCTTTATTCTCATAATAAAAATAAGTCTGTTCTGTATTTTACAATATATTTCAAATATTTCCACTATGAAGCATTAATTAGTCCGACACGGTCAATAAGTATACAACATTTTCAAAAGACAAGTGTGACAGGGACACTTAGGAGGGACAATTTGTACAGCCACACTTCACCACTTTTTCAACCTCGTCCACAAATGACGACCCGTCAGTGCATTCAAAAGAGTATTTCCGTCTCTTGCTCCTCAGTGGTCCACAGCACTGCCCAGTTGAACATCCTCCTTTACATTCTAGTCTCGATACCTTCTTGGTCGTCTGGCACGCAGCATACCCTTGCTGCTTTTGGTAGTAATCTCGGACTCGTTCCCCTCGACAAGAGATTTCTGTAGAAAACATTTAAAATAAGAGATGCACTTTTGAGAGACAGGTCAGAGAATAGTTGATGTTGCTAAGGAAGATGCAGCGTTACTATTTGCAGTTGGGATTGATATTTTCAAGTTTGCCTCAGACTGTATATTGGAAACTAGTGGTTCTACCAAACCTAATTTGATTAATGCTTGTTTTTATTCCTTATACCTTCTATTTTCAGTAATGCTTATATTATGTATATGTAAACTATAAATACGAAGCTATTACAATGACAAGAAAATTGGAAGCTTAAATCTTTTCCTCTTTTATAAAAATACACATCTTCTGTTCCTACATTGCTTGCAGCTGGTTCTGTTTACCATAGGGAAATGTTTCAGAAAGCATGCAATTTAATTTATTAGACCTGGAGTTTAATATTATTCAAACTTTTATTTAATATAAGTTACATTCCCTAACTTCATAAATTACTGAGGTATAAAGGCAGCTAAAAATGAGACATCTGTTAAAAGTTCTACAACCATTCTATTCTATTCACATCTATGTACAATGCA